GTTAAAATGTAAATCTAGCAAAACACTAGCTATAAGCTAAAAACACCAAGTTAAGACTATTAAAAGTCTATCTAAAAGATAAATGTATCAAATAGAAGTTGAAAAATCTAGCTAAAAATGTAGTTTAGGAAGAAAAACATATAATTAAATAAGTAAAATAATAGCCAAGTACTGTCAGGATCTGCGTTTTATGGTTGTTTTTGTTTGTCTTTTGGGATCATATTTTTTGTTAGTTTTTGTTCCTCAGCACTTGTCCCGCCCACTTACCTGTTCCCAGTCGGCACTGGTGCCACCTGTCTCCAATGTTCTCATCAGTGTTGCCGAGTTAGCAACATTGTCGCTAGATTTGGTGAGTTTCCAGACCCCTTTAACAACTTTTTTTTCTCCCCAAAAATGCAACTAGCAACAAATCGATCAATTTTTTTAGGTTAATTAGAGACTTTGGATAATGACACTTTCCTCAGTGAGCAGAGAGCGGTGCCCTGGGCCCCTCCCCGCCTTTTCAAAGCACAGACAAGCGGTCCGACTCGCTGAAAYCTCGCACAGCAACCCCAGCTGCAGTCAGAGCAGAGAGGAGACCCACTCCACTCCGCATCCACCGCTACAAAATGAGTCACGYGGACTTAAAAAGCGGGATATCATTTTTGCYGGAATGTTTTTCTTCACTGACACCGTCTCACAAAAATAATTCTCTGGACCCACAGCCTCCCTCACTTCTTCAGCTTGTCCACCATGTGTGCCTCTGTGACATCTAACAGTCTTAAAGTTTAATATTCTTACAAAATTGATTTATTTAATGAGGCATTGAAGTCATGAAATATATACATATACAGTATATATATATATTCATTTTCATTGCAGTTCTAACCTTATTTAGAGGGTTTTTACTCACTCTCTTTCTCTTTAACATTGATATACATCTTTCCTACAGCCTAGTTCACAATTATTTGCAAATGTCCAAATATGCAAATAGGTTTTAATTACTTTTCATGGCTTTTCCTACTGATGAGTGGATATCATAGTAGAGATACATCATCATAACTTTTTGTGAGGTTTTGTAAATTTTGTCCAGTAGTTTATGAGATATTTTGCTAACAAACACAAACAAAAACAATCACCCTCGTGTCACCTTCCATCGGTAGGCAATAATTTAACAGCCTCAATTAATTTTTTTCCTCCATTTATTTTTACACAGCATGCTTTGCCATTACAGCCAATATCTTCGGTCATATTTTACTAGTGAAAGTATRAAGTAAATTAATAAGATAAAGATGAAAAAGTGTGTGCTTAATTCCTACCCCAGCAATTTTCTTTATTAGCCTGGAGTCAGATGTGGATAAAGTGTATTTTATGAGGATAATTATGTGTCAAATATATTAAAAAAACTAATTCCCTGAAACGCTTCATCAGGATGAATTTTTCTTTGAAGAGAGCGTTTTTTGTTATTTTTTTACCCCCTCATCGTCTCCCTCAGGCTGCCTCARCCCTTTGTGTTTTGTGCTTCCTGYGTAGAAACAATCATCATTCTGAAATGATTCTTCGCTTAAACTCATTCTATTTAGTACATTGTCAATCAAAACATGCCTAATGTGCTATCGCGATGGACTGGGAGATGATTGTGCCTCTGAACAGGACATTAGTCGTGGAGAAAAAACCCTGTTGTAGACATTTGTGAGGAATGGTGGTACGTAAGAGATTTAAAAAAAACAGTGCTGCACATGGAGCACTGGTGCTTCTATGGATGGAGTGGGTGGGGGGCTGGGGGGGAATGAATCGACGGATCGAATTACTGATTTATTGCATTGAAAGGACTAAGCTGAAGTGATTTGGTCATTTGATTAAGAYTCCTGGATGCCTTCCTTTTGGAGGTTTTCTGGGCACACCCCACCACCGGTGAGAAGCCCCCGGGCAGACCCACAATTTGCTGGAGGTTTTGTGCGTCTTCTCTGGCCTGGAAACACATTGGAATCCCACAGGAACTGCACTTGCTGCCATTATCTGTAAAACTGAGTTTTAGCCTTTAGCTGCAGCATCCATCTTGAATCTTGTTTATTACAAAAGTTAATCAGTTGTATGGGAATTAACTACTTTGGTAATACAGTGCAGCATTTTATGCGTAGGAGAAGCATGTGCTAATACACCTGTTCAATTTTTTTTTTCCAAAAGCAGTGGGCCTCTGAATTGGTTTTGTAAATGTGCTGCCCAGATTGACTTTTTGTATCCAAGCGGTGTTTGAAACCTCAAGTAATGGTTGGCTCACTGTGCAATTCTGAAATGTGTTGTATAAATAGGTTTTGTTGTGTTGCGTGATGAGACCGTGTCTGACGCTGATGAAAAGCTCGGTTCAAATAGATGAGACTCCGCTGCAAAAGGCTTTTTTTGTCTCCAGCTCCTCGTGTGTCTAACTGTATTACCAGCAGTCTTTTGTCCAGTAAACAAGTCCTTGTATCTGAAGGCTACGCAGTATATCACATGCAGAAACACCTCAAACACTTTTTTTCTCCCTTTATCACATTTCATTTCCAGCTTGGGTTTTAAGAATTTATAATAACACATCAGTTTTAATTTTTTGATGAAGGTACTTTTCGGTCTTTTTTTTCTTTTTTTATGAAAGCTTTGCAAAAAAGAGCCTGTTTCAGTACTGCTGCTCTGGTAAATTGTAGATTTGGAAACATCTGATCCTTGAGAGTTGGCAGCTGAACAACTCATTTTTGCCACAGAAAACTTGGATTATTTATTTATTTATTTATTTATTTATTTTTTTTATTTATTTATTTATTTATTTATTTATTTATTTATTTATTTGTTGCTGTCTAGTTGTTTATTTGGCAAGATTTATGCCAGGCATTTAAAYGCAATGTTTTTGAGCAGCTACCTCTAAAAAGCATTTTAACATAAGCAAATTGGATTTGTCATCATAATAAAAGCTAAGGGGAAAAAATATCATCTGCAAAACATTTGTTTTGGAAAGATGTCAGTGTCAGTGATGTATGAGATGTATGAGATATCATCACAGTAAAACACTAAGATTTGTTTGACTTTAAAAAATAATATTAAATTTGGTCCTGGACTGAATGTTTATTTTTATAGCGTCACAGTGTGACTTTACAAACTAAAACCTGATTTTTGTAGTATAGCTGAGAAAATAAAAGACCAAAGTTTAGTCCATTTGTGTTTGACTATTATAGTGTGGTCAAGGAAACAGGGGCTCCAGCTAAAACTGTTTCATCCTAAACATAAATCCACAGTTTTCAAAAATCTTGGAGAAGTTATTTGTAATCAGATTGGATCAATTTATTGATAAAAATAAGATTTTAAACAGTCAATATGGATTTAGAGCCAATAACTCTACTTCAGTGGCTCTCATGGAACTGTTAGATCAAATAACAAATGCCACTGACCAAAAATAAAATTGCGCCAGTGTTTATGTTGATTTAAAGAAAGCATTTGACACGACTGACCACAGCACTTTGAAAAACAAAATAATTATGGGATTAGGGGACCAGCATTACAATGGATATCTAGTTATTTGGAAAATAGGAAACTGTACAAGTACATGATGTAAGATCTGAACTCTGTGGAATAACGTGTGGAGTTCCTCAGGGTTCTGTACTTGGACCAAAATTGTTTATCTTGTATGTAAATGACTTGGTCAATGTGTCAGGGCTCTTTAAATGTGTTGTTTGTTGACGATACAACTTTTTCTGGGTAAAGACATAGAACTGATGTTAGAAAAAATGCAAGCAGAATTTGTGAAAATACAAGATTGGTTTAAACTAAACAAATTATCATTAAACTTGGATAAAACTAATTAGATTATATTTCCAAAGAGACAAAGAACTGTTAACATTACAGTTAGAGTTGATGGTGTAGAGATAAATAGAGTTAGTGAGGTAAAGTTTTGGGGTGTTATTATTGATGAGAAACTGATGTGGAAACCTCATATAAATTACTTAAAAATAAAACTAGCTAAATCTATTGCATTGCTTTACAAAGTAAGGGACTTTTTTTTAATGATAAAGCTCTGTACATGTTATATAACACATTGATTGTTCCACACTTGGTCTATTGTATTGAAGTATGGGTAAAGCATGTAAGACTATTACAAATCCTGTTTCATTTTTTTTCTTTTTTGCAAAAAAGAGCTGTAAGAATTACCACTCAAAAACATTACCATTATCCAATATATTATTCTGTAAACTGAAATTATTGAAATTCTGTGATCTGGTTGAATATAATATTCTGTTAGTAATGTATAAAGCACACCAAAACACATTACCTTTAAACATCCAGAAAAACTTTGTAAAAAAGAGAGAGCTGTTGTAATCTTAAGGGGACACAGATGTTCATGAAACCCTAAATTTGGAACTAGTTTGAAAGTACGGTGCAGCTCAATCCAAGGAGTCAGATTGTGGAATGATCTGGAAGATGATATTAAAAGTGCCAAATCACTGGCTAGATTGTTAAAAAATATGAAACAATATAATCTGTATCCATAGAATTTGTTGTTCTAGAAAGATTAGATGTTTTTGTTTTGTTTTTTTAACTGAAGAAAATTATTGTTTGAATTTATACTTGAGGAAAAAGGGGCAGATTTAATAAGATTTTTTCTTCTCTCTGCCACCGTTCATTTCTTTTTGTTTGTATTTTCTTTTTTATTGTACATATAATTACTTTTGTTTTTTTAAGAAATGAATAAAGTTTGAAATAAAATAAATAAATGTAGTGCATTTTAAAAAGTGACAGACTAAGAGAGAATAATCTTGGATGTAAAACAGGTTCTGTATTCTCATAATGTTGTTACTCTCCTCAGTTTAATCTTGGTTGCCAGCATAGTAACCAGTAGTGCAGCGCAAGACCTCAAGAGTGCAATCATCTTTCTCTCCTGTCTAATTAAAGCCCATTTAGCTTAAGGATTAATGTTGGTTTGTAGAACAATGAGCCTGGTGTTGTTAACGATCCTTGCGGCTCACTCCTGATTATGCCTCCCTCTCCACCAGGTAGCCTGGCAGTGTCTGCATCTTTGGACTGTCTGCTGGCGGAGCAGGGCTGCATGCAGGAGCCGTCCTGCACGGGCATCTACCGACTCCTGGAGTACTGCGCGGCGGAGGAAGCCGTGTCGCCCCTCGGCTCGGATGCCCGCCTCGAGTGTCTGGAGGCCCAGAACGCGCTTCAGCATTATCGCCCCCTTCAAGTCTGCAAATGTCAGCGTGGCTCACGCAGGGAGGAACACTGCCTCAAGGTGTACTGGACTGTGAGATTTGCAGGTGGATAGAAATGTCAGCATGTGTGTGACTCTTCAACTGCTTGAAAGGGTAGTTCATATCTTCTGAAGTGGGGTTCTGTGGAAAGGTTTTAAAATAAAATCCTTCCAGTTGAAGATATATCTTTAAATTCCCTCAKTTTGGAGTGTAGTTTGTTTTAACGTGAACACACTGATGAACTGAAATGACCCACAGGGTGACGTGTTTGAGGCATTGTGGGTCATTTTAGACCCAAACGCAGCAGGAGGGTTAAGCTGTCAGCAGGCTRTACTTGTTTTGGCCAGAGGTGTAAATGAAATACATTTACTTCATTACACTAATTAAGTATTTTTTTAGGATCTGTAATTTTACCAAGTATTTTTTTAAATCATAACTTTTACTTTATTTTATTACATTCATAACATCAAAATGATGGCTAAAAAACAAATAAAAAAATCAAAATGATGATTTTAAATTTTTACTTTATAGTTTATAATAATGCTACAACTTTAAAAAATGACAAACTTATTGTGAAAAGAGTTGTTTATGCATTTTAAAAAGTGTTGAGTTTCTGTAACCAAGTTATGTCAACTGGTTTCACTAAACCTATGAGTAAAGTGGTATAAAGCAGTTTACTCAACTCATAATTTACTTTTACTTTCCCAGCTATTGTGAGCAATTTTGTAACTTTTACTGAGGTACTTTTCCTATCAGTAAAACTATTTTTTAGCAAAGTAATTTTCTATTAAAGTATATTTAGTTTTACTTTATTTTTTTCCCAAGTACTTAACACACCACTGGTTTTGGCCTCTCTTGATCCAGCCAATAATTTATCAGTTTCTCAGATTTAAACCTAGGGCTGTGTTTGAATTGTCCACTAAGTCATATTTAGCTGCAGCTACAGTTGGTGGTTGTGCAAAAACAGTACAATAATATATATTTTATTTTAGTGTTTTGGAAACAAACATTTTCCCACCCAAAATCAGTMAAATTGAATCAAAAAGCGATCAGTGACAGGTAAGATATTAATTGTCCTTAACTCCTCCGCAGAACCCCATTTCACAACACTTGAACAACCACTTGCTCATGGACCTGATTGTCCTCCTCTTTTTTTAGCATATGATGAGTATGAGGTGTCCCCATATGAGGAACTGAAGTTAAATCTGGTGAGGAACATCGAGATGTCTCGTATGGCCTCCATCATGTCAGGTAGAGTATTTCTCTTTAGACACAAAATAAAAACAGAGCTTGTGCTCCCCCCCACCCTCCTGATATACAGCACTATACTCTGTCTTACTCCTGAATCCTCCTCAGCTTCCTCTCTTTCTTTGGATGGCCAAAACCAGTGTCTGAAGGCAGCCCAGGACTGCGGCCTGTATGAGAAATGCGGCTCTCTGCGATCCGAGTACGTCGTGGCGTGCACCAAGCGGGCGACCGCCACCGACAACAGCTGCAACCGCCAGAARTGCCACAAAGCCCTGCGGCGCTTCTTGGAGCGCGTACCAGAGGAGTACAGCTTCGCCCTGCTCTTCTGTCCCTGCTCTGACACGCTGTGCGGAGAGCGGCGGAGGAAAACCATCGTGCCGTCGTGTTCCTACGAGGAGAACGCGAGAGGGGAGGACAGAGCGGGGAAGCCCAACTGCCTCAGCCTGCAGAACTACTGCTCCAGAGACGAGCTGTGTAGGTAAGAAGCACCTTTAAAGGAGACCAATTATGGGTCCTAGAAATTTTTATGGTATGTCTGTGGGCTATCCAGACCATGTTCATTCAATTTAAYRCACAAAATAATTCTCAGWTAATAAAATTTCCGTTCAGAAGAGCTCTTTATGTTAATGAGCTCTGTTKGTAAYGCCCTCMAAAAATCTGTTGACATTWACTCCGCCCTCCAARGCCAGYRTTTACGTTAGCATGGCTAATAATAGCAGAAGCTCTGTTGTACAACCATATGACAGACCCAGAGGCAGAGTCGTGGTCGCAGCTTCTTCTTTTTTYCTCYCCCTCSTCTGCTCTGCGCTCACTCTGCATGCTGTTACCAGAGCAGGGAGCAGCAGCGGTCAAAATACCTCAGAAACTCGAACAAATAGGCTTTAACAAGGCTTTAATAAGCTAAACAATAGAGCTACATGAGAAAACGTGTTCATAAGGAACGAYGGCTTTTTATACTGAGGAGGAGGAGTCTCACCCGGGGGTTGCTAGGTAAGGGGCTGAACGCAGGTTCCTGTGGGTTGTCGTATGGCTTGTGACAACACAAAATGACTGAAGTATAAAACTTGTCATTAATATACATTAAAAATACATTTGCTTGCAGTAAATATGCCCCTGGGTGCATTTTTCTGGTCCTAGCACTGTTTTTTAAGAAGTACATACCCAAAGTTGAGTTAAAAAAAAATTAAAAAGTGAATTTTGCATAATATGTCCTCTTTAAGATTTAAAAKAAACACCAAGATGCCACAAAATACACAAACTACAAAACAGGACTCAGATAGGACATAAACATGGCTCATGGACTCAATTTGCCCAGCTGAGATAAACTCTCCCCCAAACTCTAAAAGCAGCTTGACTTCCTTTCTAGGAAAGAAAATGACCAAATCTCATGACTCATTGTATTGATTCATGCCTGCCAGTTATTTTCCTGATTAAAATACAGCACAACACAAAGAGGGGGGAAAAAGAGCCAACATCYTGTTCTATTTCTAGAACTCCAAATTATAGATTTAATCAGTTTTTATTGTCTGAGGCTGATTAATATAAGAGAAACATGAGCAGTGACAGATGAAAAGCTGCTATGTTGTGTGAAAATTTCTTCAGCAAATCAATGAAGGTCTRGCATTGTTTTTGAAGGAATAAATATTGGTCTGATTATAACAAATTATACAGCAAATGCCTCGTTTAAACTCTGTAAAGCACAAAACTTGCTTGCATGAGCTAAAATTGAATTTGTGTGTAAATGGTAAAACAACTGAAATGGTATTGCTGCTGCATAATAACAGATGTAAAGCAAAAAAAAAAAAACATCTTTTTTTCTTATGGCAGCCATCTGTTTCTAATAAACAACATGAAATGTTCCTCACAGACATGTCTTCAGATGGAGATAATGGTTCTGAGTTGTTTTTTTGCTAATTATTATGAAAATGTTTAAGTGACAGAAATAGAAATGCTTAATATATTTTATGTATAACACTCAGTAGCTTTGAGCTTTTTTTTCCAAATTTTAATGGCCAGAATAAAAACGTCAACTCAGGGAATTTTGAGACTCATTAAACTTAATCTGCAATAAAGCACAACTTTTACTTTACTATGATTAATATCCTCATTGGAAAATAAAAAGACGGCATTATAAATAATACCTCGGTGGAGTCTGAAGCTGTTGACATCCATTTTAATCATTCTAGTAGCAGGTGGGCTCTTCAGTCGACGTGCCAAGCTCATTAACAATCTCCAAATGGCAGCAGGTTGCTTTTTGATAATAATAGTCAGAGCACATGAAGCTGGACATTTGTATCTACAAATGTCAACTACTTGTAAAAATTACACAAATTAGCTGTTTTTCTCAAACCTGAAGAGGATTTTTATGGTTTTATTATTACTTAAACTACTGTATAGTTAAAAAAAATAACATAGACATTTATTGACTCTGTTTTTATTGCAGACAACTGGCTGAAAATTAAAGTTTACCAAACAAGAATTTCTGAATGTGTTTTTTTCAATAACATGCAGTCTTCCTTCTAGTTTATTTTGCTTTTACTGATTTGATTTAGCACATCTTTGAGCCTCTACAATGAAAATTCTAAAGCGCTTTAGAATGCACAGATTTTTCTTTGTGCTCAGATGAAAAAGCAGCTTCCTCCTCTGTGCATATTTTGTGTTTTTGTGTGTGTTTCAGATCTCGGTTTGCAGATTTTCAACACAACTGCCAGCCCTCCTCTGTTTCTGCCTCTGGCTGTGTGCGTGAGAGCAGAGCCATGTGCCTGAAGGCTTACACTGGACTTATAGGTGAGATGGAGGAAAACAAATTAAATCGGAGCAAAGAGCTGGGGAAAAAATGGTTGTAATTTTAAAAAATGACAGACAKCCACTCACAGACCTAATTGGTGCTGTCTAACTTTAATAGCTGACCTATGATTTTTATTTTATTGCACTAAATATCCACAAACAGTGCGTCGCCTATAAGGATCAGGCTCACTTGGTTCAAAAATGTAAGTTGTAGTGCTCTGTGAAATGGTACAGATAATATTACTGTATGCTGAAAATGTTTTGTTGTTGTGTTATTATTCATAAGTAGATTTTTTTCAATCCTTTCAAACTTGTTTACTGTTAAATCTGTTTATTTGTCTTCTAATGCTACATTTAGCTTTTACCTAATGTTCTGCTATTTTAGCTGTTATTTCTAGCTTTTAGCTACTTTTAGGTTTTAGTTAGACTTTTAAATTTCAGCTCGTCTTTTGTTACTTTACTGTAGCCATATGTTATTTAAACTTTAGGTAGCATGTTGCTACTTTTAGCTAGTCTTTAATAGTTTTTTTCTAGCCTTTTGATACTTTTTGGCTGCTCGCTAACTTTATGAGACTTTTAGATAGCATTTTTTAGTACTTTTAGCCTTTATTTAGCCATCTGGTAGTTTAGCCTTTAGCTAGTATTTTGCTACCTTTACCTTGCATTTTGCTACCTTTTGCTGCTTTAAGTTACTAGCCAACCTTTTGCTGATTTTAGCTGGTTTTCAGATTTTTTTCAGCTTTAACAACTCAGTTTCAACTTCAGCCAATTTCAACAGTCGTTTTGTGCCCAGCATCTACACTGCATTGTTTTGTTCTGTTTTTGTTTTTCATTTTAGAGAAAATGCTAAATTTCTATTTTCCTTGTTCCCCTGCACTCAAAAAGCAATTTTGTGGACCTGCAATTATAAATACTGAGAGCTTGAAAACTGCTGACACTGAGCCACAGACCGCCTAATATTGTTTTATTTTATTGTTTCCTACCTTCCATAAAGGTGCGAGGTGAAAATTTCAACTCTAAAGTGAGCAGGAATATGATTATGAAAGTTCTCGAACTTTGTCTTTCAGGAACCATCATGACTCCAAACTATGTGAGTAACAGCAGCACTGAGGTGTCCCAGTGGTGCACGTGTGAAGGCAGCGGGAACGATTGGCAGGGCTGTCAGCGCATCCTGCATATGTTCAGCAGCAATGCGTGTCTGCGTAAGTAAAACGACACAAAGCTGAGGAACAGCATGTAACCAGGGCAGCTTGTTCGTGATGATGATGCTCTCCTACTTGGATAAAAACTCAAAAAGTGCTAATCATAATCCACAGATTTATTATCAAATATCCTGGTCATTTCTTGAAATCATTCTGGCTTTCATGATAAAAAAGCTACACAGGCATGCAGACACAAAAAGTTTTTTTTTTATCCATGTTTAAGGTGTTTTACAAGTATGGCTCATATATCATCATTAAAGCAATATTTCATATAATTTTAAGTGGAGTTCAGTGGAAAGATTGCAAACAATTAGTATCTTACCTTTTGTACAGTAGCTTTTTCAGCAAAGTCAGTTCATTCACTAAAACATGCACTTTATGTTGCTTGGTTAAATAAAAGTTAAATAAATAAATAGWTCTGGTTTAAAAAATCTAATGTGTCAGAAGTGAGGCCAAGATTAAAGTTGTTTTCTGCCATCTTAAATCAMTTCCAGTTTCAAAAACTGAATCYGCAACAKGTRAKATATTAATTGTTCATGGCCTTTCAACAGAACCCCACTTCAAAAGATCTGAACTATTGCTTGCATTTATAGGCTCTTGTTAAAGTTTTGAGTAAAAACGTGAACGATAAACATACAGATTCATATTAATGNACTTCAAAAGATCTGAACTATTGCTTGCATTTATAGGCTCTTGTTAAAGTTTTGAGTAAAAACGTGAACGATAAACATACAGATTCATATTAATGCTTCATACAAGTAACCTGTAGCTAATGATCCCTCCTCTGTCAGCATAATAGCAAAGGAAATGTTATCTTCTATTTGTCAAACGGGAGCATTATCTAAATTAATGTTGAGATGTTGATCTAACTGAGCGTTTTATAACCAGCTTTAATACAGAATTGAAATGAGGTGGGCYATAATTGATTATTTAGAGGGCGAATCACTGAACCATAATGTTTTCTTATAAATAAATGAATAGCTGGAAACGTACTCCCTGGTGTTTGGCCGCCTGCCAAATGGGAATGTGATTTCGAAAGTCTGCAGAGTCAATGAATCCTCTCACCAAATCTGATAAACTCAACGTGGCTTCTTGTTGTGTCTCTGCCAGACCAAAAAGAGCCGAGGAACGTCACATGGCTCTGCTCAATACTTACTGCTTAAGTATAGAAGTAGCTAATTTACTGCGAGTGTATTCATTGTTCAGCCTGAGCTGGGGGACACTGAATTAACAAGAGGCACTAAAACAGGTTGTTTTAATTGGAAATAAGAGTCCAAATTGAGTGTGGCCTCATTAACAATCAAGCTGCATGAGTTATTTTTTTTCTACACTCTACACTGTTTTTTTTTTTACCCAACATTGTCCTCCAGAAATAATGTTGAGGCTGAGATTAGTTGTGATTGCACACCAATGCAAACAGAAGATAAAGAAGCACAATGGGAGCAGAGCCGGACTGTTTCAGTCTGCCAAAGCACACAGGGTTTCTGGGAATAAGGGAGAGGACTGGGAGATACGGTGGAGATTATAGGAGCCGACGCATAAACTAAAAGTTGTTGGTTTAAACCCAGGAAGATGACTAGAGTTTGTGTACAAAACTGTATGAAATAATCCAAAACATACAGACTTAATGTTCACAACTTGGTTGCTTTGTTTTATGTCAGTGAAATCATATATGAACAGTAATTTTGTGCGGCTGACTCATCGGCAGTGGAGGTCATTATGTTTGTCATAAAACAGCCCATTCATACGTGACTCATTACTCTTAGTTTTACTTCACCAGTTTAATATTTCTTTGCCCATCTCCTAAATGACAATAAATCTCTACAAGACAAGAAGCTGATTTTATGATGTCTGAATTTAAGGTAAAAGAGTGAAAAGTTCTCACTGCAAAGTAAACAATCAAACAAGAAAAATGTAAACCTAAACTATGCCAAATGGTGCAGCTTGAAAGGGTTTTACTCGTTTTCCAGATATATGCAATGCATTTTTGAAATACAGGTATGCATTCATTGTAAACAAAGCATTTGTTTGAATCAAAGCATGAGTCACATGACTGATCTGCATCAAGTCAACCATGGTCTATATAGGTAAACAAATATGAACAATATGTTTATCATTTGACTTCTTTTTAGCGACTCAAGATGTGGTTGTAGGTAAATAAACATTTTTTATTTAAACCTGTTTTTTGGCTAGTCTTTATGACTTTGCAATGAGTATCTTTAAAATAAATAATAAATGTGCAAATAAACCTAATTTGCACATGTAGCGGTGACTTGGTGTGAGTTGTTAGTTAATTACTTAATGTGCAACAATGCTGGAGAGCTTCCTGGAGCTATTTTTTTATTTGTCCAAAATTATAAAAAATATAAAAGAAGGATTTAAAAGGATATGTCTCCCTTAATATTAGTTAAATTAACTTGCAACACTGATTCAACTTCCTGGAGATTGAAATTTGCTCAATAATAAATCACAATAAGAGTGTGGGGAGCAAGTGGAATGTCACTACTTATATTATGTTTTAATTTGTATCTATAATATTTAAATCAATTAATTTACTCAAATTAGACTGTAATATAGTTTTATATTTCAAATTGCTGTAGAAGTTTAGTATAATCCCAACTTTAAAAMTCTCTCTACAAACTGAGGTTGTTCCTAAATATGTACAACAGGTAACATATTGTTTGTTCATAACTCTTCCACAAAACCTGACTTCAAAAGATCTGAATTATCCCTTCAAAGGTACAAGCTCTGAAGCTTTTGTTTTAGTCAGCATGTTTGAAAATGGATTTCATTATCAATTATAGATCATAGTCACTGAGTGAGTTGCTCCAGCTACAGGACGCACACTGATCATGTTTTAGTGATGATCCAAAGCTGAATAAAGATGTGAAACTAATGRTGGCGTCTCCTGCTGCTTCTGTTTCAGGCAGCGCCATCAGCTCCATGGGAATCGCTGCTCCTCCTCCGGCGGAGCTCACTCCTGTGCCAGTTTCTCAGCCCTCCCCTCGCGTTCACCAGGAGAGGGTTCCCGTCAGCGTTAACACCCTCCCCGAATTCAACAGCGTAAGTGCTCGCTCTGCTCCTCCTCTGCCTCACCACGTGTTGGTTCAGCTGACTGGATAGGTCTTAACACCTCTGTTTCACAACACCAGTGGGTCGGGCTCAGGTYTCCTGTAGAATTTCAGATTATTCCTGTTTCCTCCGTTTCCCTATCTYCACCTCTCAGCGTGGCTGAGGATTAACCGCAGGTGTTTGAAGTGTTAGACTCCATCTCTACTGTTAATATTCATGCCAGCACACTTATCTGCCCCATATTTACCATTGTAATCCTCATATATTCTAAAAATCCTCTCCTTGTTATTCTTATCTCTGGACACCCAGAAACTCTTTTTGTGCCTCAGTTTGTTACATTCCCTTTCATTTAAAGTAAATTCAGATAATCATGTCTAGTGGAAGCAATAAAGGGTGCATTGCCTTCAGTAAAGCACAAAACTGCACCGACATGACGTCTAAAACTATAATTGAAAAGAAAAAAAGAAACAGTTAATGAAAACTCTCATTAATTCTAGGAAAAATGAGTTTTTTTCTCCAACAGATAGACAAACAAAACGTTTCTCTTATAGTTGTGAGTGTAGTTGAAGGTCTTGTTAAATTAGGACTAGAAAACTAAACTCAAGCCAGCTAATGGAGCCACTGTATTTACGGTCATCTCAAACTATTTATTTATTGTTTTTTATATATCTTCATTAAAAACCAAAAAAAAAAAATATCTACAATAATAAAAAACACAAATCATAAATGAAGGAAGCAGAAATAAGAAAAAAGGTTATGACGATGATGATGATGTTGATGAAAATACTTTGAGTGGCTCTATCATAACATACCCTCAAGCAACAAGTACCTCTGTTCAGTTTGAAATATTTTTTTATCAGGAACTGAATCTAGAGTTCTTCCTTGGATTATTTTGTGCCTCTTCGCCAACATCATAAAATTTGTCCTTCAGGCCTTTGAGATTTTGTTGCCTCCCTTTTTTGCAAACATACACAGATAAACAAAAGACAAACTTTTGTGCATTTCAGCATCTGTTCTGTTCCCCACGATGTAGTTTTACTTTGGCTTTAACCTTAGATTTTTTTAAAGTTATACATGTAAGACATTATTAAAACAAGTGAAAAGAGAATAACAGTATAATCTGAAAAGGTTTGTTTTTGAMTTAATTTTTGTTTACATCAATGCTTTTGCCTGTGTCTGTATGTGTGTGTTCAAGCATGTTTTACCATGTCTGCTACTAAATTTGAACCCCATATTTCATGAACGACTATAACTCAGTCAATTTCACAGAAATCAACCTACATTTTAATGTACWGTAAGAGCAGAGACTGGTGGCCAACACGTACATTATTCTGAGTGGTAACAGATTAACGCAAGTTTTTTATTAAAGTTTGCCATTAACTATTTGAATTAAACTGTCTGTTAGCAACATATCTTTTGAATCACCAGATGGAGTTTTATAAAACTTTCAGGAAATAATTATTAAAGTTGAGTGCCTATAAAAAGTATTAACCCTCCTAGGTGTTTCATGCTGTTATTGCTGTCACACCATACATGACATACATTTATTTAAAGGACACTTAAAAACAGCAACAAGGCCAACCAAATTGCTGACGATAAACAAGCAGAAGATCTCCCCACACACACACGCACATCACTCAAAAAAATCAAAATGTGTGCATTGAATTTACTTAAATTATGTCAACAGGTTCTTCTCAACAAAATAGGGTGAATCTAACACAATTACTTCACATTCACTTATACACACACTTACTGTATAATGGTTGCCAGGATTTAAGCCTAAATGGACAAAAGAAAACATTTAGAAGATAACTCATTTTACATCTTTAAATCTAGTTTGTTGAGATTGTTTCAAGACTCCAGTTTAGTCTCTCTCTATATATATATCTATATATAAAAAAATTAATTGAATCCTAATTTCTTCCCTCTTGGGTCATATCTGAACCTGCCACTAGACTAGATTAGTTCAGCCTAAGCTCACAGGAGCACCACATGGAAAAGTTTCTCCAGTGATGCCAACTTTTAATGCATGTAAAAATCTTTCGCAARCTCAACAGCTAAGAGAGTTGTCATTCTGTCTCACAGAAAATAGAGCTGCCCAGCACACCTTGTACTCCACGGTTTTCTGCCTTTCTACACAATCTGTGAAACATGATACCTGCCTATTGACTATTTTGCCAGACCCACCTACAAAAACCAAAGAAAAACAAAAAAACTAAAAAAATAAATAAATAAAACACTCTAGCTGCGCTTCCGTTGACCATGAAAATGTGCAAATCAGAATTTCGAAAATAAATTTGCTCAATGGAAATACGTCAATTTCGATAAAACTTCCTTTTTTCGACAAAATGTTTTTGCGCTAGGATGAGGTGGTTTTTCGGCCATATCGAAATTGGTGGTTTTTTTTTTTTTTTTGCAAAACTGCAATAGAAACACTTTTTTCGCATCATGGGAGTCACGTGATCAACAACCGACTGTTTCTACTGGTGAAAAAGACGATGACGAAGTAGACAACAGGAAGTAGAAGTAGAAGTAAAATCACAGAAGTTGTAAAAGAAAGTAGTAAACTCACCGACTACAATTTATCAAAAACACAGCATACGTAGCCGCTCCAAAGTATAAAGGGCTTGTCGCTGGGAAGCCTTGATAAGATGCTAACGTCTCCTCTGATGATGAGCGCTAGTGCCATGGTAGCAACATGCTATGTGTTTACATCCATTGCCGCCATGTTTGTAATGACTTATCGTGCGAGCAAACGTATTCACGCATGACTTTAATAGCATTTCTTACTTAACACAGCAATTGCAAAACTGTGTTTTCGACATTAACAGAATATTGACAAAATTTTGCGCACATTTGCAATGGAAACACAGCTACTATTTTATTTTGTTCAAACATGATATGACTCTGTTGAGCTCACAGGAATCACTATGAAGACACTTTTACAAAAACCCTTTTGTTTTTATTCTCCACATAAAAATACCTTGAAACAATGTTGCTGAAAGGGCGGAAAGGAAATCATTCAAAAGAATATATTCCACAATTTTCAATTATTAAAACAATATATCTTAAACTCAATGTTTCTTAAAGCTTTCCCTATGGAAAAAAATGTGTCCAAGGCAAATAAAAGTGAAGAAATGCATATTGAATGCAATATATCCCTTTTGTAAAATAACCATAGAAGATAATGGTTATGAGTTTTTAAGGATATAAACAGATTTCACATTCCGGGTGTCGTTAAATCCTCTGCTGAGTTGGATAAGAAGCAGCTTCCAGTCAGAGGAGAGAGGCTGAGCAAGCTGACCTGTCCTGACTGCAGCTGCCATGGTTTAATGTCATGTGACATTGTAAAATTGGAAAGCTGAGACAAGAATTCTAACCTCATCTAACATCCTGTTCTGTTCCTGCTGGTGATTGATTGGACCACAAAGATGTCCACAGTCCAGAGAAGCAATGAAATACAGTGGACACCTGGGAACCAACTCAATGACCTGGCAGTGTTGTCCTTCACCCATCAACAAACACAAACTCGATGCTTGGCATCAGCTTCAGCGCAAGTTGGACTTAATATCACAAAAATACTAAAGGTAGAATCTCACTTGGTTAAGTGTAGCTGCATTCGTGTGAGTCTCCAGAATATCTCGCAACTTACACAGTGATACCAGGTTTTTAATGTTTAAAGTCTTGTTGCTTAAGTCGAGTTTAATGGATGTGTGATCATGTTTTTAATAGTTTTCTGGTATTATTTTCAGTATTAGAATTGTGAAAGTAGAATTTGATTTTTGTTGCTGCCTATTGGCCAGGTTGTTGTTGTAAATAAGGATTGCTGTCTCACCTGGTTTAATAAAAATAATATATAAAGAAATAAAACATTCAGCCTGGTGAAGAACATGTGGAACACAAACATCTAAAGTTTGGTCACTTACAAACCAAGGTTCACATCTTTAACACCAAAATCAAGTTGGTGGTTTTAATGGCTCCGATATGTGGAGAACAACCGTGAAGAAAATGTAGTAAAATGTGCTGACCATGATCAGAAACAGTGATGTGTTGCAATGCACAAAAACCGGCTGCATGCGGAAGACAGTATCTTCAAGAGACACTGGAGATGGATTAACTATACTCTACACAAACCCAATCATTTTGATCAGGAATTCCCAGGAAAAGAGGAAGTGAGTACGGCCACAAAACAGCTGCTGGCAGAACTTGGAGGAAGACATCAAGAGGATGGAGCCAGCTGGAGAACAGGGTGGGCATGGGACCAGAATGGATACTCATCAGTGGCTCGTGCTCCAGGGGATATAAAAGGTGGCGCTGATAATGATGATTCATTACTTTAATATAATCGCTCATCAAATCAAATCAATACAGCAGTGTTTCATCAAGTCAGATGCACCTTCTGCCTTCCACTTCATTACAATTAAAGAATCGGGGGGACCAGTTAAAGCCGACTTGAGTTTAGAAAGAGGTCTTAACGAGACGAGGCTAAAAGTGAGGGGTTTTGTCTGAAGAGGCAAATACATTGTAGGAAAAATGTTTGTCAACAACCTCCAGTCTTTTAGTGGATGTCTTATTGTAAGTTTGGTGATCAGAATATGTTTAGTAGAAGCAACACTTGAACATCAATCAAAACAAGTGGCCATAATGTATCAGAACTAATTCAGCAAAAGTCAGATCATTATGTTGTTTCAAAAGCAGTCTTGGCAGTAGCTCTGGGATATTTTTACGAATTAAAGACTTCCTCCCTTTTTGAGATCCCCTTCCATGCGTCGTTGCTCCTATTAATCGGTGGAATCGCTCTTTCTGTCTTGTTACAGATGGACGACAGCGAGGAAGAGGAAGGGGAAGAGGAAGCGAGCGAGGAATTCAACGTTATCCCTCCATACTCTGAGAAGAACTCCAACACCGAATCGGGTGCCAGAGGAAGTCAGCGGGGGAAAGCTAGCCAAGCGGCGCTTGCATTGCCATTACTGCTGCTGCCAACTCTCATCTTGGGCCGGGAGTGCTGGAACCACTGAGGCTCCGCTCCTATTGTCAGCTTGCATTTTCTAATCGCTACCGCTGTCGAATCCATTGCAGCCCTCACAAGTGAACCACGGAGGACAGCGACGCAGAAGAAGTGTACATGCTCATGTTTGTCTTTCATCTCTTATAACACTTCTATTTTAATACACCAACTTGATTTCTTTTCTTTATAGTTTTTGCCTCCTGAGCCTTCTCAAGATATACAAGATACCTTTCATCCTTTAATGATTTTTTGCTCGAGTRAGTTTCCTTAAAAGGAAGGGAACAACATGAGCAGATGTGGAAAAAAAGGGGCCGATGTGAAAAGTGCTGTCTGGGCAAACGCTCCATATAGAGCAGTACTTTTAACAAGAAGCACATCACCCAAGGCCACGTTCAGCATACATGCACTCTAAAACTAAACCCGGGGCTCGGGCACAGTTTCTCATTTCTATTTCATGACTCGTCGTGTCGCATCCGTTTCTTCGCTGCCCCTTTCCCATTCCCGTTTTCATGGTGCAAGCTGAGCAAGATAATCCCCTTTATGAGAAGCTAATAAGAGAGTAAGCTAAACTGCTTTGTAAAGAAAATCAAAGGGAAACTCTTTAAAATCACTTCATTTAAAAGGGGAATGAGATTCAAACCAGTGCGTTGTCACATTTGCCTCACTTTGTGCACCGAAAAGCAAATTYGCCTTGCTTTCCCGTATTTTTATTTTATCCTTATTTTTTTATTTCTTTTCCTGAAAATCACAAAGCTTAGTGTTATTCCTATCACACCGAGCAACTGAGAATTCAACCACGGGCGAAAGTAATGAGATCAAATTCCATTGCTGAAATGGTACGGAGAGAGAGGCAACATAAGCAATTACAGCACAATTCAAATTGCTGGTACATTGGGGGAGTCTGGAGCGGGGCTCGTGCAGGGGGAAAAGCCAATTTACTGCTGTCATACCCTCTCACTTTTTATCCTTAGGAGATCTGTTTTCAGGGCTCCTTCCCCAACATGTACTTTAGATATTTTGAGAGCAAATTGAAGAGATAGGGATGGACACACGAGGCCGTTAAAACCCACTGGCTGCTATGATCATTGAGCAGCACATTTAGCCATTCTCTCTGCCTGAAATATCTTTTGCTGATGGTAATGGTTTTTCSTCTTATGGCTCATTTTCCTGTGAAATTAGGGAGCTGCACGAACGCCGGTAAAGAGAAGTACGGGGAAGTTTTAAGACAGGAGGGATAAACTTGTCTGATCTGATGATCAGGCTTGAGCTCTGCAAGAAGAGTTTTTTTTCCCCCCATCATGTGGATTCACATTTATAAGTCTTTTTATGCAATGTCATAGCATGGGGAAGTTTCTTGGAGGTATCACAAAGGAGATCCCACTGCTGGATTTATTCATAGAATGGGTTATTACCATGAACTTTGTAGGCAAATGGATGGAGACAGAATGGCACTGGAAGCATGCGAGCGCTGCTCCACTGAGTCCAGGTCTTTCTTTTCATTTTCCAGAAGTTGATGTTAAACTTTAATTGGATGTTGTGAGGTCAATAGATATGCAGTGACTGTTGCTTGCTTTAAGGCAACGTGGCATCATGCTGGTTTTTCCCCCAACTGTATTCCTGTTGAGAGAAGCAACAGAGTGGAAGAGGGAAAAGGTCAGTTTGCTAGCTCTAAAAATGGCTGCAAGCTTAGTTAACGAAAACAAGTAATTGTTTGGACAGAATACCTGAACTTAAACTACATTTTGATAAGCAGCCAGTGTTATCGTTTGTTTACTTGACCTCAGAAATAGACAAGCCAAACATGCAAAATGATACATGATTCAGTATGAAGTCACACATCAGTAACAGCAGCTCTGGATGGAATCCAGTGTGYTCAGGCCTTAAAGGGATACTTCAGATCTTTTGAAGCGGGGTTCTGKGGAAACATTATGAACACTTATAATCTTACCTGTTGTGGATAGCTGTTTGGATGATATCTGAGAAAGAAATGGTGATTATTTTGACCAGATTGATCAACGAGACTGAGTGAGGTCAAGACCAAAGTGTGTTACTGTCATTTTAAAACAACTCCAGTTTCCCAAATTTTGTAAAGATTTTACGCAAACACAATTGTTTGACCCTTTTGATTGCCATCAATTTTGCAGTAGTTTGCATAAAATTCTGTGGGGATTTGTTAGTGCAAACTGTAGCAATTTGTGCTTTCTTGTGACAGTTCCAGCAGGGATACCATAGCTCTTCTGCCAGAACATTCATGTAGAACAGAGGTGGGCTGTTCATTTCCTCAAAGGGCCTCTTAGGTAACTGGGACTTTTGCAGAAGACCAGACCAACAGGCTAAACCTAATTATGCAAAAATAAAAATAAGATACCATACAAATCTGAACTGGTTGTATTGAGAATTTCAATTTTAAATTTGTGATTATGGTAGCAGAGTTTACCAAACATCTTTTTGAAAACTCCCCATCAGAGAACATTTGATTTTTTTCCCTATTCTATGACATAAAACCAGTTTCAAAATAAAAGCTGAGTTTTCTGACTGTAAAGAGATGGTAAATGGATCAGATGTGGCTCATGAGTCAGAAATGCCTAGCTCTGGTGTTTTATCAGAACTGATGGCGATGTACAGATTTGCACAATAATGTTTACATGAACTGCTTTGTCATTRTTGTGTTTTATTTTAGACTGAAGAGACCTAAAACAGCCGCAAAACATTTTATTTTTAGCCTCTCTCTGACTAGCCATTAGCTCATTAATCATGTCAGAATTAAACATTTCTCTTCCAAAAGGAGTCCATTCTAAGATCTATCTACAACAGGTAAGATATTGTTTATCACCCATCCACAGAAGCCCAGCTTCTAAAGATCAGAACGATCTCATGTTAACATGAGTTTACATGTATTTCCAAATTTTAGTAGGTTTGTTTATATTTGTAAACTATGTAAAGTTATTGTTCATGTCAAACATGGGTCCTGTTTATGGAGGAGTTTTAAAGAAGAAAAGTTCTCCGTTCATAAATATGAATCTTGCTGGGGGGGAAGCAAAGTTGTAAATATTTCCTAAATTAAACAGTTTGTAGTGTAAAGTGGTGAGACTCTGTACAGTCCTGTTTCACATGTTCACTCTCCTGTAAAAACATCCAACATGGCAAATAATTCTGACTATAACGTGTTTTGACTGTCATTTTGTGCCATAGCAACAACTATGACAATTTGTTCAAAGAATAAAGGTCTCATTGGATTTTTTTTTCTGGTTTGACTGAATCTATAATCGAAAACAAAGTCTGCATACCATAAAAAAGGTTATTTTTTTCTCAGTTACAGCACGTTGTGTCACTAGTGGCGAATATTAAATGTCAGTTTTACTCTAAATTGGTCTTACAACAGGTCAGGAATTTCAATGCATACTAATACACACTGGGACTCTAATTTATTGCAATAAATTAACAGTTTTTATCCTCTAGCTCTTCTTATTAGACTGAGTCAGGATTCTTGTATCTATATTTCACTTTTGACTGAGGCGATTACAGGGTCTTAAGGATTTTACATCCAAAATGACTTTGCAGTGGAAGGAAGTTTAGGAAAAAATAAATAAAAAAATGAAATAAAATAAAAGCTGCAATAGATTTTGGCACCAGACTGCACTTCAATTATGAAAAGTGCAGTGTGAGAGCTACGCAGCTTTGTTTTTATGTCTAAACTCAGCCAGCTGTCTACAACTTTAAGTTATTATTAAGTAATCCCTTTAGAAAAATAATAAATAAATGTTTACTGAAATGTAGAAGGTTCTTTGTCTTTTACTGCAACCCACTGACATTGCAAAGATAAGCTTTTAAAAGACAATACAACTTTTGCTGCCAAATGGTTTTAATTTCAACATTTCAGAAAGGCATAGTGTAATAGCAATCTTTGATAAATAGGCGAAATAATAAGAAAGCCTTCCTTGAAGAAATGTGCATCACCTGCTACCTTTTATGCCAGAGTTTTGGGTTAAAATCTTTTTATATAGAGAAATTAAAGTAGCCTTTTTGGTCATTGTTATGATGAGTAGGGCCAGAACATGAGGTTTTATTTAATTTTTTCAGTTATTTTGTCTTGAGGAAGAAATACGTATGAGAATACAGTCATAATATTACGAGAACAAAGTTGTAATATTATGGGAACTGCACAAAAAACAGTCTTACTGCTCAATTAAAATGAATGTTTCATTTCCTCGTGAAGTTATACTTTGGTGTTATTTAACGCTGGATTCAAATGATGAACTGAAGCTGTATTGCAATTAATTAATTAGTCTGGTCCTAATACTCAGTTTTAATTGTACATTCTTGTGATATTGTTATTTTGCAAAATCTTGCGTAATCTGTTAGCACTTGGAGTTAGTTAGTGCTGGGAATGACTTTCAGCTCTTCCAATGTGACCTGTCGTTTGGCTGGAGATCCCAGCTGTGCAAAGACTTTCATTCAGAATTATTTTCTCTATGTTTTGTTTCAGTCACAACTCATTTGTCAGAAACACATCTGAACAGAACGACGAGGCTGTAACACTCAACTGTAAGAACAGTCAGCGAATGGATGCTTGTGCCTGAGCGTCATTACTGAACTGAGCCAAACTCTGTAAACAAACAGGACTTTTTTATAATAGATTCTTTTTACTTGTTCCAAGACAAGTATTTTCCTAAATAAATTCAATCAAGGAGCATGGACAGAATGCTGAGAACAATAGACTTGCAGTGCCTCATGTTTTTATTGCTGAGGCATTCTTTATAATCTTTTAAAGTGATTTTTATCAGTGGTTCTCCAGATTTCCTGAGAGACTTTCAAAGGTTTTCTTTGAGCTTTAGATGTTTGTTTTCACTCGGTTTAAGAAAGAAAAATGTTTCTAATTGTTGATCCACTTAACTCTGATTAGTCATTTAGACATGAAAGGACTCCTAAACTCAAAGAAAAACCTGAGTTAAGGTGACACAGACAACTTGACATGAATCTGGTTACAACACAGTACTGAACTGGGAATGCTCCAGAGGTCCACCAGTCCTTTAAAGTGTCTATGACGTGCATTTCCTTTCTTCAAAATGTCAAAGAAAACATCTTAATAGTTAATAAACTTGGCATAATGCACGTGATTATTCCAATTTTTTCACACTGCTGATACATTTTCTTTTGAACTTGGCTCAGCCAAACTGAAACAGGAAGTGACATCAAAGGGGAACTCTTTAAGAAAATATATTTGCTCATTGAAACAATATTATTTAAACTCTGACTCTTCATCTCTCTGATAGTGACTCAAAATAACCTAAAGAAACATCAGATTCTTCTCTACAGTTTCACTTATTAGTTATTGTAGCAATGCCTTGTTTACTTGCAGACATTCCTTTTTGACATCACTTCCTGTTACTTCACATGCAAATATCTCAACGACTGTTCATCTCAGCAATGTGAATTCTTTTTTGCAACATGTTATCAATGCTATCTTTCCAAAAATGCATTCATATTTATTACAAAAATTGAATGTCACAGGCACTTTAAACACTGGTTATTATCGCCTACTGTTCAAAGTGAATGTTTATGCTTGTGTTGGATGGTCTTAGTCTAAATCTCTGGCATGAAAGGGAATAAGTAATACCCATTCCTTCAAGGAATGATTTGTCCTTAATTAAATCTAGTATATGAAATATATTTTAAAGTTTATTTTTCTGTTGTTGGGGTTTATATTGCATCATTCTTTAGTGTAGTGCACAGTGGCCGGCTTGAAAGCAAATCATTTTTATTATAAATAAAACTAAGTTTTCTTCCATCACTGCTGTTTGTTTTGTAAGAAGCTGTATGACCGTATTAACTCTGTTCAACAGCTTTTTTTGTTTGTTTGTTTTGTTTTTTGCCATAAAAATGATATGTGTTCACGAAGGACACTGCATTATGTTGACTATAATGGCTGTAGATGCAACAAAATGAACAAAAAGTGAGTCTTTCACCTAAATTTGATACATTTTTTTCTTAATATTATCATTTTTTCTTATTTATTGTTTATTTAGACACAAGCAGAAATAACCATAGGTTAAAAAAGGACCAAATAGCCTTCATGTTTAAAAATAAAATGTGAACAGATGATCAGACACTAAATTATTCACTGCTGCTATTTGTGTCTATATATTTGGAAAGTGACTGCAGCAGTTCTCACTTGTGCTGTGCAGAATTTACCAGGGATAGATTTCTGCGTAGAATTTCATATAAATAGTTTTTTGTTGGATACCTTCTGCCTATTAGAAACAGCATTCTCCGACCATAAAAAAGTCACATGGTAGCACTTCAATACACCTCAATGGAGCCAATCCAAGTCAAAATAGCCTCCACAACTAATCAGTCTTGGTCATCACTTCAAAGGTTGTAACTCAGGTAGTTTTACRAATACTGTTCTAAAATGTGTGGTATAAGCAACGAGTCATCGTCAAATACACACTCAGAGTTTTAACAAATCTGCTAAGTGAGATTTCACCAAATTGCAAAAGTTTGCACATTTAAAGTATCATTTACAAGATTTAACCATACAGCTCATTGGAAAACTTCTGGAACAATGGATGATATGCATTTTTTCAAGAGATGCTAGATCTTTACATTTCTTATTGCAAACATTTAGACATTTGTAAGATGGATTTTGTGAAAAGATGTTATGGTTTGTGATGATTTTCAATCCAAAGTATAGACTAAACCTCTTGCAGATGCATCTTTTCTTTAAAATGAACTTTAATCAGGACAGGCACATAAAGTGTATAATGCTGAACTGAGGAACTAACAAGTCAATAGAGAATATAAAGACAAACTAATTAACCCAAGTACCAACACCTGTGCAGGGTGAACTAAGACCAGGTGCAGGCGGGTGTGGCAGAACAGAACAGAATATTCAAAATACATGAAAGCAAACTAAAATACAGAAACAGACTGATCTGAACCCCACAAAACTAAAAATTACAATATTTAAACAAACAAAAAATATATAATCCTAACAAAACATCATGAGCAGTCATCATCTTATCTGTTGCAGATAACATTATGAATGACCTAATTTTAGAAAATTAGTGATTATTAAAGGTTATCTCTTAAACACTGACTGTTTTTGCCTTCAGCTTGAGACAAGTGATATTTGAAAAAGAAAATCATTCATACACTTCAKTTCCACACATATTTATTTATTAGAACACAGTGGCTGGGATGCATTTCAAAGCTTTTCAAAATAAAATAAGTACATAAATGAGCAAAATGTTTGCCTTAAACCAGGACATTCAAAGGTAACAGTACAGTTATAATGTCCTTTTAAGTTTTTCAAATGTAAAAAAAATGGCAGCAAGCTTCATTGTACACAATGAAGCTTTATTTGAGTTCAAACTTCTTTCTCATAAAGCGACAGTAATCACCAGTGAGCCTCTGCGCCGCCACAGGAGACACTTAAAGCCTGTAATATCCCAGCACTGTGCTCATAATATGTGAAAGATCAGCAGTTATGTTAATGCTTATTAATTAAGTAAATCAGCATACTCATTTTCAGATAATCCTAAATCAACACAGACAATATATCTTCTTATATTTCACAGAATATATTTCTATGAACTTGGGCTCAACCCAAAATCCTAAAGCAGAGGAAATTACATTTATTAATAAGATATTTTATACAGCAAGAAAATCCATGATCTAATCACATTACCCACTCTTTATATTTTATTATAGTTTCATTCTTGCATGCCGTTAAGTTTAATTAAACTATGTCTTTGCCCAGATATGTACAGTAAATATGAACAAAAACAAATGATTAGTGCTTAAAGCTCACTGAACTTTGTTTTTTTGAAAAAAAAAAAGAAAAAAAAAAACATGAAAGTTCCAGTAAGTTTTGAGGTACACAACAATTCGATTCAAGAAGCACGACTGGCAAATTTAAAGGTTGAAAATTCACCAGATACATTTTTCAAAATAAATATCTTCTGCTCTATTATATTTTTATGACCTTTTTTTTCAAAGTGGGAGTCCTGATGTCTTTTGAAGAATTTTTAACTGAACTTTTTAATGGAAAAATGATATGAGGCATGGATTATTCTTCAAAGATTATTGTTGAGGTCTCGAAGGACATTTTAAATTGTTCTCTAAAGTCTAGAAAAAACAGCACCCCATTAGAAAACACTCTGTATTCTATGCACTAAGAACAGCCACAAACACTCTGATGGWGAGACATTTTGTTATTTAGAGTTTATTCTGATGCACG